CCACACCCCTCTCAGAAAAGGAGGGACCACCAGCTGCTGGCAAAGTGCTTAAAAACTGGCACGAAGTACAAAATCAGCAAGAAAACAAATGCCCGTTGGTCCCCGGCTGGTGGGGCACCTAGTCCTTGGGGATGTTGGGGGGCGGGATCTGCAGGTCAGAGGGCTCCACGCCCCAGATGTCCCTCGCATACTCCGTGATGGTCCGGTCACTGGAGAACTTGCCCGAGCAGGCGATGTTCCTAATGACCTTCTTGGTCCACTCCTTGGGGCTCTGCAGGGGAAAGAGATGCTGATTAACCTTGGGCACCGCAGGGCGGCAGGCTCCTAAGAGACCCCATTTCCAGAACTTTAGGACTGTTTCTCAAGAAGCTCTGAGCCCTGGGATAGTCTGGTGGAAGAAGAGGAATTATAGTCAACTCTTTCCTGGAAAGGGGTCCCCATCTACCAGAAAAGCTACCAACTGCTTAGATGTAAGGGACAAGGAGCCTAAAAGAAAGTCCTGACTCTCAAAAAGCTCTGTGATCCACTAGGGCACAGCCCACAAAACTACACAGAAACACCACCAGGTAAATAGCTGCCACAGATGGATCCAATGCCCATGGAGATGGCCAAGAGGTCTCCTTCCACTCAGGGTTGGCAGCTGTGGCTTCCTTCAGAGCCTCACAGCTGCCCCAGAATGTAGCCAGCACTGGGGCACGTCCTTGAGGCAGGCCAGACTGAGGGTAGAGAAGGCTCCTCCCGGAGCTCTGCCCAGCAGCTCAGATTCCAGGCTTTCTGTTCTTGGCCATCAGGAGCTGTTTCCCCAAGAGAGGAAGTGGCAGGGGCAGCCTCCTTAAAGGCAGGTGGGGAATCACGGTAACAAATGAGAAACACAAGCCCCTCTGGCCTCAGCCAAGAACCTGCTCAAACAGTTTGGGAAATTAAACAACCTGACACAAGTCCACAAAGCCCCAGCCCTGCTGCTCCCCACCAGCCTCACCCGGTAGAGCTGGTCCACCCGGGCCTGGCACTGCATGTAGGCTTCATAGTCTGCAAACACCTTGAACCTGAAACAGGAAAGGTAGGCTGGGCCATGGTGGTGCTCACCTGGCCCTGCCCCAGGTCCTCCCGGCTCTGCAGGGGTGGGGGTGAGGGAGCTCACCCAGCTCACTAGAGCCAGGCTGCACCAGGCTGCGTCTCTGTAAGCAGCAGCACTTATGTTCTGGGGCTGCTATTTTGGAAAAATCTTATTTCGACTCAACATTCCTTTAAAGAAATTGGCGCTTACAGTGCACCCTACACGTGCAGGTCGGTTAGAGCTGCACTCGCCCGGAGGTGTCCTGGGCAGACACAGCGGCCTGCGGTCCCACCTCCCAGCTGCATTTAGCTGTCTATTCTCAAGCCAGCCTGAAAACTAATGATGTAGAAAAAGGTTATTTGCACTTCCTGATGTTCTGGACAAAAATGCAGGATTTATGAATGTAGAAAGGCATTTTTGTTTACAACTGAATCAAGAGCACAATTAATAAAATTCACAATTTTAAAAGTCGTTCCCTCATCACAGACCTCAGCAGGGCCTGGCTTCCAGCCCAGACACGTGTGGTTGTGATCTGATTTGACTGGAGCCAGCCGGTAACCCAGGCACCACAGAGCACCAGACAAAACCCAAAGGCAACTGAAAGTGGAAGCAGATTAGCTCCCAGCAGTGGCTACGTTAAGCGTCTGCCAGCAGGGAAAGAGCTGCCGTGACACAACAGCACTGCCTGATTGGGCGTTAGGAAGTCTGTGACTACAGATAAATTATAAGCATGTTAACTGCTCTGTACTGAAACACTAACTACATCCTAACTTTAAAACATCACAAGTTAATTCCACTTCAGCCAGTGTGTGGCACTGTGGGCCCACGCATGCCTCCCAGAGGCTTCCGGGCTGGGCTCCCTCTACCGGCCTCCTTGGAACGTGGCTGCCCCCAGGCCTCCAACCAGCCTGGTATCGCCCTTTCCTGTTCGTCAGGCCTGTCCACGAGGCCTGGGGGCTGGACCATGATGCCGGCCTCCCACTGCCCAGGGGACCCGAGGCATTGCCAAAGGCCACTGCAAACTCCCAGCCCTGGTTTTAGCCATGACTCTCCGGGCTGGGTCTCAGGCCATGCCTAGGAATGGTCTCGTGGGCTGAGGTGGAAAGGGCTTCACTTGCCAAACAATGTGCTGTTTCCAACCCACGAGGAGGACCTGACTGTGTGTCCCAGTGAGTGGGCAGCTGACTGGGAGGCCTGAGGGGTGCGGTCCCACCTGTCGTGATACATCAGCATGTTCACGACATCCTTGAAACAGTCTGGATCTTTGGGAGAAAAGAAGCCACTGCTGATCTGGTCCACAGCCTGCCTCAGCTCGGGCAGCCGGTCGTAGTACTCTCTGGCATTGTACCTGCAGGATGGGCTGTGCGTGAGCGGCTGCGCATGCCGGCGGGCAGCCACGCTGGTGCCCAGCCCCGCCCGTCCCAGGACGGTCCCAGAGGCTCCAGGCCTGTGGGTCCAGGTCCAGGGTGGCAGCCGTGGGCCACAAGTGGCTACTGGGCCCTCAAGAGGTGGCTGGTTAGAGAGATGTGCTGTAGGTGCAAAGTCAATGTCACCTGCCTCTTTTACTGTTTAAAAAAACGTAGATATTAGAGGATGTGGAGTTATGAACATGGCTCACATCGGAGTGGGCCACTCAAGAACTCGCCTCAAGGTGAGGCCCTGGGCAGAGCTTTTAAAAACAAAAAGGCCACCCTGAGCGGCATGAGGGCTGAGGAGCACCCTGAGCTGGGCCCACGAAGGTGGAGAAGGAATAAGCATTACCCAGACAGGATGGGGCAGAACAGGCTGAGGCAGTGAGCCTGGAAAGAGGAAGGACCACCCAGGAGAGGAGACAGGGCGGGCAGGAAGGGTACACGGGCAGGCGTGCTCTCTGGCTGACAAGGACACGGTTCTGACAAAAGTGACATCTGGAGTTTCACCCAACTGCTGCCTAAGGCTTCAATTAGGCAACAGTGTTTCTTCTTTCCTGCCATCACTCAAATTGGGCCGGTGCCAGGACCCTCCTGAATGTCCAGGTTATGAGAAACAAGGGGAGACTGAGAAACTCTCAGACCAGGGGAGACAGGAGACTTGATGACCAAACACAACGGGGGACCCTGGATGGGGTCCTGGGGCAGAAAAGGCCATTAATGGAAAAACTAGTACAATCAGAACAGAGCAGGGACTTGCACAGATAACTGCATGCTGCTGGCTCGCTGATTCTGATGACGTCCTCAGGCTGCTAACACGTAACATGAGAAACCAGGAGGACACTGTCTTTATGACTTTTCAACAAACCTAAAATTACTTCAAAATAAAAAGGGACTGCACAAATTAGACCAGGAAACCTAAACAACGGGCAAGCCCCAAATCCCCAAATTGACCACATGCTCCTGGCAGTGGAGGTGCCTGCTGGGAGGTGTCCCAGCCACACCCCGACGGTGTCCCTCAGCAGACCCTCCCCAGCACCGCCCCACCAACAGGAGGAGCCCTTAGCCTGGACCCTGAGGAGCAGCCAAGCAGCCCCGCTCCCACACCCCGACGGTGTCCCTCAGCAGACCCTCCCCAGCGCCGCCCCACCAACAGGAGGAGCCCTTAGCCTGGACCCTGAGGAGCAGCCAAGCAGCCCCGCTGGAACCTAGCCTGCGTCATGCTCATGACGTGACCTGTCGCCCTGGCAACACTGATCGCACACTCGGGATCCTGGCCCCAGAAGCCCCTGCCCAGCTGGCTTCACAGCCCCTCCCTGATGGCACAGGAGGGACTTGCACCCTTTCTGGTCCAAGGCCTCGACATCTTCCACACGCAGGCCGAAGATGAACAGGTTCTCCGCCCCGGCCTCCTCGGCCATCTCCACGTTGGCGCCGTCCATGGTGCCGATGGTGAGCGCCCCGTTGAGCATGAACTTCATGTTGCCTGTGCCCGAAGCCTCGGTGCCCGCGGTGGAGATCTGCTGTGACAGGTCAGCGGCTGGGATCACTGCAGGAGGATCACAGGCCAGTCAGCCCCAACCCTCCTTCCTCATTCATCGGCAACACCAGTCCCTCCTCCCAGCTGAGAAACAAATGCCCCCGGCAGGCGCTCCAGGAACAGGGGCCGCCGTCCTGAGGCTGCCGGGCTCACCACTGCGCAGGGCCGGGGGGTCAGGAACGCAGTGGCTGCCTAAGGCCGGGTCCTGCCACCAAGATGCAGACTTCTGAGGAGAAACCCCCCACGTGGCACAGGACCTTTGTTCTGGAACCTTCCAGGGCCCTGTCCTGGCTTATTGCTGCTGTTGCTCCCACTCACCCCATGACACTGACGTCTCACTCGGTTAGCCCCTAAGGCTCCTCGGATCATTCCAACAGGAACCTGGACTCTGACGGAACCAGCGGACCCGAAAGGCTGAGAGCAACCTCCCCGCATTCACTTGCACAGGAGTCGCTCTGGCTGTGCACAGAAGGGGCCCTCGCGACCGGCCACACGCCGCAGCCCTCTCCCAACTGCAGGCTTCCTGTGAGATGCGATGTGGCAGATGGGACCAGCTACCCTGCCCAGGAGCACGCTGTGACTCAACACCCTGCTCAGGGCCCTCAGCCCAGCTGGCTGCCATCAACTCTGCGAACACCACAGCGCAGCATTTCCTGCCCCTAGAGAGTGGCACCAGCATCCAGTATGGAGGCACAGTTTCCTCCTGGCCCCAGGCAGTGCAGCCCAGCTGGTGACAAGGACACAACTGCTGCAGCAAGTCTAAGGAACCAGAGGGCACATGAGGGGCCCTGACCCCAAGGACCCCAGGCTGGGTACCCGAGGCCAGTTCTAAAGATGAGCAGGAATCAGCTGACCCTAAAATAAAAGTGAGAAGTGGGATCTGGGCAGCAGAAAGGACAGTCAGATGCTTTAGTGGGAAGTTCAGGGAAGGACTAGCCAAAACCAAAGTTCCTGACCAAAGCTGAACCAATCTGGCTCGACAACCCCTACACACCAGGTGCCGATCCCCAGGCAGGAGCAAGGCTGGGCACCCTGGCCGGACCACAGAGACAGCTCTGAGGGACCAGCCCAAGCTTTCAGGAAAACAGCGCATGTCAGCCTGCACATGCTTACTACAACACAGCCTGCAAAGCAGCAACTGGCCAGTCAAAAACAGAGGCACTCGGCGGCAGGAAGGGAACTCGAGAACTCCAGGCTCAGGGTTCCCACTGTCTGGCTGGGCAAATCACCCTCCTGTAAGGAAGGCCCGTCCAGGCCAGGATGATGTACTCCAAGGCTCACAAGTGGCACGCATCCTGGGTGTTCTCCCCAAGACAGCCCAAAGTCGAGCTGCCCCAGACTAAACTCTGCATACCTGGCCCCACGCTGCCCTCAGGAAGGGCTGGAGAGGCAGGTGCAGCCACACAGGAGAAAAGCAACGCACCTAGAGAGCAGCAGGTGGTGAAGACAAGGGCCGTCCCGGAGGTACCGAGGGCACAGCCAGAGACCAGAGAGGAAAGTGGGGCAGTGAGGCCAAGGGCAGGCACGACAAGGCACAGAGATGAGGGCGTTCAAGGCTGGGAGTGATGGGTTCTGCCCGTCATGTGCAGAGGCACTGCTCGGGCACACTGCCAGTCCTCCTGGTGCACACGGTGCACCCCCGAAAGCTTCTGCTCCCTGAAGGCCGCACTCTGGCCTGGGCCTGGGTGCCCAGGGCAGAGCTGAGCTGACTGAAAAGGAAAGAGGCCCTGGGCCAGCACTGCCACCCCAACCCATCCCCAGGCGGAAAAAGGTTTTCTGTGCACAGCAGGCTCCGGGGCTACCTTTCTCGGCCAAGGACACTCGGTAGTTCTCCAGGAAGATCACTTTGAGCCTGTCACCCACAACTGGATCATGATTGACAACATCACCGATGGACGTGACCAACTTGATGATCATCTTAGCCATGTGGTAACCAGGAGCCGCCTGGAAAAGGGGAGGAGAGGGTTAAAGGTCTTTAGTAGGAAAACGCTTGGCTCAGGGTCCAAGAAGCGTCTTCAGCAGGTCTGGGAGCGCTCCCGGTCACCAGGGTCTGCAGGAGGCTAGACCAGTCAGGAGGAGCAAGGGTCAGGAGGCACATGCTTGCAGGGGTCATGCCACCACCAGGCCCTGCTGGTGTCGAGAGGGGGGGGCTTCGGCTTCCTGAGCAATCCCACGACGGTCACCTCACTCCGGCCTTAAGTTT